AAATGGCCTCAGCGAAACCGCTTCTGAGACAAACGCGAGCGGCCGGGGCTTCCTGCGCCCCAGTCCCCTCCTGGCGGATTTTCCTGCCTGCCGCCCCCGCTTCCGCGCCGCTCTCCGGCCTCCAAACCGGCCCTTTGCACGTCGCCTCCTAGCGTGATCCGCACTCTGCACACGGAGCCGGGGAGAGCTTTCCCCAGGCGCCACTGCACACGCGTGCGTGTGTGTGTGTGTGTGTGTGTGTGTGTGTGTGTGTGCGCGCACACACAATGTCCTCAGGGCCTCTGTGCACGGCCGGGACTCCCAAGAGGGACGCAGCGCACAAACCGAATCTCAGACGAGCAGGACGCGACTGCGCATGCCTAAAATCCCAGCCCAAGGCCAAGAGGCTGAGGCGGGAGGGTCGCGTGAGCTCCAGGCCAGCAGGGGTCTGTCCCTCTCTGCCTGCCGCGTGTGTCCCTGCAGGATGCCGAGACCAGGCGGCCGCGGGTCCTGCGGAAGTTGGGGGGCAACCGTCACAGGATCCGGGGCCGCCCCGCCGCGCCCCGCCAGAGCTGCAGGACCCACACCTGGGCGCCTCTCAAACCGAAACCGAGCCCAGCCGGCTAAAATTAGCTTCAGGAAGCGCTGGGTGCAGCCGTTGGCTGCAGGAGGGCGGAGACGGCTTCGCGCCGGGTGGGAGGTGACAGAAAAGCAGGGCGCCCCACCCTCACCCCGTTTGGGTTTTGCAAGCTGGGCTCCCCATCCTTTTTCCAATTTCCATCTTTGCGAGCCTGTCTCCGGCGCATCGCGACCGTGTCCCCGGGGGGACTAGGGCTGTGCACAGCGCGCGGTTTATTCTTTGCCTCCCGCCCTCCAAGCCCCCCATCTGTCAGCCCCCTTCCCGTCTGAGAAAGGCCCATCTCCCTACTCCCTACCCATCTACCTTTTCTCCGGCTCTCTCCTTCCACTTCGGGCTTCTCATACGAGAGAAACCACGCGATACTGAAGTTTGCGGGTCTGATTTATTTCACCTCACGTCAGGGTCTCGAGGTGCCTCCGTTTTCCCAGAATTGACTCGAGTCCGCCCTTTTTCCCGGCAGAGTCGTACTCCACAGGGTGCAAACCCACCTCCTTTATTCGTTCCCGTGCTGAGGGACACGGAGGCCTCTTCCCAGGTCCAGCTATTGTGAGCTGTGCCGCTGCACACACGTGCGTGGAAGCCTGCAGCGTGGTCTGTAATCCTCAGGGAAGGCGCCTGGAAGGGGAACAGACGGGTCGGATGTAATTTCTGGCTCAGAGGGTGTAGTTTGCATCCCAGCTGCCGCGTAGGAAGAGCCACTTTGACCCCACAGCCTCGACTTCTCTCAGCCCCGAACTCACAGGGGCACCAGAGGGGTCACGGCGGCCTCTGAGTGAGAGCCCAGGAGGACTTGAGGGGCGGAGGGGCAGCTCCAGGGACACCGAGGCCGGCTCCCACCCCCACACCCCACGTTCATTTGATTTCCAGTGTCCTCATGGCCCCAAGGTAGAAGCCACTGTGGCGCCCTTTGCAGCATGGTCCCAGCCTTCCACGTGGAAAGGAGGGCCGTGTGTGTGTGTGTGTGTGTGTGTGTGTGTGTGTGTGTGCGCGCGCGCTGCCCTTGACGTGGTGCAGGGACAGCTGTCTCCGTGAGTGCCAGAAGCCGGGGTTCTGGGTGTCCACATTTCTCAGTGGCTCAGGTGGGGATGGTTTTTCTGTATCCTTTGGGCTTCCTGGTGCGTGCTCAGGGGTTTGGAGTTCAGGGTTAGGTGTGGGGTTGATGGGAAGGCAGGAGGGTGGGGTGGAGAGGAGGGACAGGGGAGAGGGAAGGCAGGCAGAAAGGAAGGTAGGCAGGATTGGGAAGAGAGTGCAGGAGCCGCTGCAGCCTGTGTGCGCCCCGAGGAGCAGCTGTCTCCTGTCCCCTGGGCCCCAGCTCACTCGCTGCCGTTTCTGTGCCTCGCAGCCCGCACCTGCCCCCACGTCCTCGTGCCCCCGTGACCTCCGCCTCCTCAGCACGCCACCCCGTGCCCACGAGGATGCCCGGGACCCCGTCGCGATGACCTTCGGCGTGAACGTGACGGGCCCGGACAACGCCACGCTCCAGATGCTGCAGAACCCGGCGATCGCGGTGGTGCTGCCGGCCGCGTACTCGCTGGTGGTCCTGATCAGCATCCCGGGCAACCTGTTCGCGCTGTGGGTGCTGTGCCGCCACATCGGGCCGCGGTCCCCCTCGGTCATCTTCATGATCAACCTGAGCCTCACCGACCTGCTGCTGGCCGCGGTGCTGCCCTTCCAGATCTACTACCACTGCAACGGCCACCACTGGGTGTTCGGGCGGCCGCTGTGCAACGCGGTCACCGTGGCCTTCTACGCTAACATGTACGGCAGCATCCTCAGCATGACCTGCATCAGCGTGGACCGCTTCCTGGGCGTGGTGCACCCGCTGTCCT